GTAGCACCATGTTGAGATCTGCATGGTTATACCCTTTAGTTTTTGCCCCGCGTGATGGACGCAAAATGGCGTGGATTTTCTGGATGGCCTCGTCAATTTCCTGCGGAGGTGGGGGACGTAATGTTCCAGGAGTCGGGGCGGATTTAGTGGGCTGAAAGGTCTCGTCGGTGCGGGAAAATTCAGGTGGGCCCAGACGGACAGACCCTGAGGGTCGGGAAGGTCCCGCGGCAGTGGAATCTGACGTCGGCACAGCACTGGGAGATGTCGCCCAGGGAGATGGTAAATGCGCTGATGGTTCCATGCTGATTGATGCAAACAGTTCTTCCCAGTCCTTCAACCCGTCCTCCTCCAGCCTGCTCAACTCGCTGGGTGTAGGAGACACAGGACGGGGAGGATCTCCTTCATCGTCAACCTCCTTGATTGTTACCGGGCTGCGGCGGGATGAACTTGGTGCATCGTTGATGGGCTGATGCATGTCAGCAGTAACGATCTCCATTCCGTCCGTCGTTTGAGACATTCCGGCTGGCGGTTCTCCCCTCTTGGTGCTCTTCTTTACCCATGACATCAATCCCACTCCATGAGCCTTTTTGGTTTTTTTTTCATTGGCTTTGTGCAGTCGTTCTGTGCGTGGAGCTGGAGCAGCACTGATTTTTGTTTTGTAATAAGGACCACGAGTCTTTGCTTGTGGTTTCATCGCATCAACAATTCTTTTCAGCCTCTGCTTGCTGACGTCCAGCCACGTCAGCAGGCTGTTTTCGGACTCGAAGGCCGGCACGTCATCCAAGGCTTCGGAAAGAACAGAATCGATCTCCGAAGAAACGGTGCTGTCCCGATCGGAGTTTTGTGAAGTTAAGTTCTCCTTCGAGGTGTTTGACAATGTGCTAGAGTCTTCTGGTGATCCTGGACGTGAACACTCGGGACTGGGAGCCAGCTTTGTTTTTTTCTGTAACGGTTTTAATAGGGTTGTCTAGGGTACTGTGTAGGTCCAAAAACCTCAGCATGTGATCCTAGGTTGCTGGTGCATGCCTTCCGCTTCAGTTTGGGCATTCTGAGTGGTGTAGCGACGGCGGCGGGGCAAAAAGGCGGGCGTCGGGATATCACGTGTGTCACGGTCACGTCACATGTAACGCGGCAAATTCCCCTGCTCGTTCAGGAAGAACTCAACGCCAAACGTGTTTTCTATCTATTTCACGTCGAATGGAAAAAGTTTTTTTGGCAGGCATACTGCTCGCTCAAATTTTGATATTTCTTCAAACACTGACCAGGGTCCTCTCAAAAATGCGTCAATAAACCAGTTCCAGGTCGCCGAAACATCCCACATATGTTTGTGGTCGAGCCTATTGCTCTCCGAAAAATGTCACAACTAGATCACGTGCACTTCGTAGGGAGTGACTTGCGCCTATCTTACGAGAGATTCGATTTTTGGGGGAATGTTGACTGTGGACCCTTATAGGAGCATCGAGAACATTTAACCTCAATGTCTACTCAAATATTCGTGAGATCTACGCGGGAATTGGCTGAAAAGGTGGGTGGCATACCTGTTATTGCCATTGTATAATTGACGTGCAATTATATTCGGTGGTGGAGACTGTCGGGCCGGTTTCTATTCTCCAGAGACACAACAGGGTAAATTTATTGAGTTGGAAGTCTTAGAGGGGAGTTGCAGAGACAAGGACGCGCTCAGAGAGACTTAAAAACATAATTTTATTTATTTTGCATGTGAGCGTAAATACACGTGATCTGGATTTTGGAGGGGGTTGATTGCCCGAGTCCTGCCCTTACTAACAGACTTCAACAAACAAGGTACAAATGTCTCTTGTTGAAGTGTCTGTCTAGATGTCAAGTGAGGGCCAACAATGGATTTGAAACTCTAAGAGGAAAGAGAGGCCAAGGAAAACTAGATACAAAACAAGTAATGTATGTTCAGATGATAATAATTTGTCAAATAGGCACACCAGAAAGTGAGATGAATCCACCTTCCAGAAATCATTCCATAACTGGATAGTTTTGCAATGAAAATCAAGGAGCCTGAAAATAAACCTGAATTCAAAGGCGTCAAATGCTCTGAAGTTGAAGCAGAAATTATCAGATCAGAGTTCATTTTCAGAGCTCTTGAAAACTGAGGTTTAGAGCACAATTTCCAAGGTGCCGAAACCGGCACATGATACAATAACATTGGCAATGATTCCAGCATCACCAATACAATAGTATTCAGCCAAAATTTCGGGACTTCCAATTCAGTGACTGAGAACAATAACATTAATGTTCCTGAAATTAATTTTCTGGCAGGGGAAGATCTGTTTTGGGAGCACCTGGATTTTCAATTTACTTTTGCATTTGCAGAGGGCCGATTTTTTTTGCCGAATTCAATTGTTTCGGGAATGACAAAAGTAATTCCGAAGCTTTTGGCTTCTGTGCTGGTCTCAGCATCTCTGAAGTCCTATCCACTGGTTGAACATTTCAAGTTTTTTGGTGAAAAAACTAGTGAAAAATGTTTTGAATTTTACAGCAATTTTTCAGTGAAAAACCAAGTGAAAAACTTGTAACTTCTTCATGAATTTTTTGAACTTCAAAACTTTTTCAGCACTTTTTCAGAAATTTTTCACAAGGTTCAAAAAGGTCACCAAAATGTTTCAAGTTTTTCACCTACTTTTTTGGCGAAAAATTACTGTAAAATTCAAAACATTTTTCACCAAAATTTTCAGCGCAAAACTTGAAATGTTCCACCAGTGATCCGAAATCATTTCTTTCATCCACGTCAAAACCAAAATTAAATCCTAGAGTTTCTACTACAACTTCATGACAACTGAAGCTTTCAATATCAGGTAGATTTTCAGTCTCACTTATATCCAGTATGAAACCATTGATTTATGGAATGATGTGAGGTGTGCTAAATAGGGGGATGCATGACATAAGGAAAAGATGCTGATTGAACTAGGTCAGCCATCAAATCTTGGATTTTGATGCAAATAATTCTCGAAGGCCATTGCCTCTCCAGATAAAATATATCTGAGCATGTAGATACATTTGAAACTCATTTATGTAGGGGACTGCCTTTACAGACTGTATAAAAGCGCATTTGGGATTGAGATATTTGCAAAAAGATCCTGCGTGACCTATATACCAACAGAACTCTGCCGAAGGGCACAGTGTGAGATAAATTATGTACTCACCGCTTCAGACGGCTCACACGACTGTCTTCTCTCTTGTCTCTCCCCACCCAGGATACGGCCCTACTTTCCATGCAATCTCAAGGAACTGCGCTCGTCACAGGTGCCGGTAGGCCGCTCATGTAATCCCATTGAACCCCGCAACCCAGTAGTCTTACAGCCCAGGGCATCGGCAAGGCCATCGCGCTCCGCCTAGCGGACGACGGGTACGACGTTGCGGTGAATGACGTCTCCAGCAATGCGGCGAACCTCGAGACGGTTATGAACGAAATAAAAGACAAGGGACGCGCGAGCTCCGCGCACATCGCGGATGTCTCGCTGGAGGACCAGGTCCGCGACATGGTGGCACGGGTGGTGGAGCAGCACGGGGGGCTGGACGTCGTGCGTCCTCCGCACTCTCTTCCTCCGCTGCTCGTCTCTGAGATATCTAAATTATAGATGATCGCGAACGCTGGCATCACCGGGCGGCCAGCGGTGCCGTTTGTTGAAAGTTGTTGCACATGCGATGTGGTTGGGCGCTTCTGATTTTTTGCGTTGCAGTTACATCGGAAGAATGGGACCGAGTGATGAACGTCAACGCACGCGGGTCGTTCCTGTGCTACAAGTACGCGGGGATGCAGATGATCAAGCAGGGACGCGGCGGCCGGATTATCGGCGCGTCGTCGATCGCTGGGAAACAAGGTACGCTGTAACAACTCGACCCCAGTTTGCATTCTGACTCGCGTCCAGGGATACTCACTCAAGGCCCGTATTCGGCGTCCAAGTTCGCGGTGAGAGGTTTAACGCAGGCTGCTGGTAAGAGGATTCCGTTATCCGTCGTTCCCGCCCCTGACTGATTGCGATTAGCATTGGAGTTTGGCCCGCACGGAATCACCGTGAACGCGTACGCTCCTGGCGCTATTGATACGCCAATGTGTGAGTCTGTTCCCGGTAGCACGAGACTTTGCTTCAGCTCCCTGTGCAGTGAATGCAGCGACGCTCGATGGGGACGGATCGGCCATAATCAAGAGGGCGAGTCTTTCGCTATCATCATGGTGACCTATTGAACTAAAGCTGGCTGCTATATTAATATTAGTTTACGGAACTCTCACCGCTCAAGCGAGTTGGGTGAGTGCCTGAATGCCCATAGTTCCCATGATCACGAATTGACTGCGCCGGATACAGAGTGACCGATGACATCGCGAATCTTGTGTCGTTTCTTGTATCGAAGGAGTCTGGATTCATTACGGGTGAGCATAAAACCCGATTAAATTGACAGACATTTGACCTCGTCTTGACCAGGTCAATCGGTGAGTATTTCTTACGGCTGGGACTTGGGTAGGTATATGGGTACTAATGTTTTTGAACCAGATTTCCGTGAATGGAGGGGCCTTCTTCGATTGATATACAGTAGTTGAATGGACATGAGGAGTGTCTGTATATTTTTTCCCTGCCATTGTATATTAACTGCCTCGTCTATCGGGCCTCTCGGCCGCTCGAAAAAATTGTAATCCTCGAGTCGATGTTCAACGTTGAACCAACACGTGCAGCACGAGGGCGTTCTGAGACCCTCTTCGATTCTGCAAGTCTGCCTTCCAGTCAACTTTGAACGTACTGTGAGAAATCCCTCGAGGATGAAGGTATTTCGCCTCTGTATCCGATAAAATGCCCTGGGCCCGGGGAGGCGGAGGTTCAAACCCTCTTCCGACTAGCAACAAGGAACGAGTTTGATCACTGAAGCGTCTGTCTAGAGACAACTGCCGGGCATATATGGCTCTTGGGTTGCTTGTTCTTTTGCTAGTTCGTGTTTCACACGATGCCTATATTCAAACTTGGGACGAAGATCACGAAGCCTGCGTGGATGAACGGACATCGTCCCTGATATGTAAATCATTCTCTCAAACTTTCAGGGGAGGTGGAGGTTCGAATGCTCCCGCGGGCATATGAAAGGAGCACTTGCTTTTCTTTTTCTTTTTGCAAGTCCGGATCCCTTTATGTGCTGACGCCTCTGTTCACAGTCGGGAATGGGAACTTGAAGCCTGTGTGGATGAATGGACATCGCCCCGAATTCATGACCATAAGCCCAGTCAAGTGGTAAGGGGAGGCGGAGGTTCGAACCACTAGAGAGAACCGACCTCTCTTTCTCTTTGGATTGCTTTTTTTGCTCAAACTACCTACCAGGGCCGAGTGTATACTTGAAATCTCCGCCGGTGAATCTCGCAGATGCCCATGAGACATGAGATGATGCTTGGGGCGATGCCCATGAAATGACACTCGTGGAATGACCCTCGGGGCGATGACCCTTGGAGTGAGAAATAAAAGAGTCGTAAAGCCAAGCGGGCGACAGCCAAATTAATCTGACGTCTGAATGCCTGAATTTCGCACGGTTCTGAGGGTGTAGCTAGGGCAGTTTCGTCGATAAAGTCTCGATTGTAACCTTGGCGTGCTGCGGGTGTGCATAGCTTGATATAGGACGGTCACAGACGGTGAGGAAGTATTCCAATTCGCGGTTGCAGTCTGGCTATATTGACATCGCGGTTGCCGTGCAGATCTGACGTCGTTGCTGTTGCATTCATTTGGGACGCCATGTGCGAGCGTCGATCCTGTGCAATGGTTGCGAGGATCATCTTTATCCCTAACCGCGAATCTATTCTAATATCATTGGCAGCTAACCAATGGGACGCAGAGTCTGCATTGCATGAATCTTTCTCTTGGCCGACGGGGCTTTTTACCCGCTGGGTTTTCAACCGTTCGAGCCCGCCGGATCTCGTCCGTATCAGGCAATGGAGATTGTTCATACACGCTGACTTTCCTCACCCCAGTGGTAGTATGTGCTGTTCTGCGGGCTTCGTGGAGTTAGATATGGATAGCCACCCATATTTTAACTACTTGTTAGTCCTCAGTAAACTGCCTGTTCCAATTTGGGACCACGTCAGTATAATATATCCTCCTCCTCCTCCAATCTCGTTGTGCGACGGCGTCGGACCAAAAATCGGCCACGGCGAACCGACTGTCCGAATCACGATCGACGGGCAACAGGCGAATTCGTAATTCGCAAATAGCCAAGCCAGTCCTCGAGTCGGAGTTTGAGCGGGGGGATTTGCGTTGGGAGGTACTTAGCCGGCGCAGTAGGCAGCCTGATATTGTTCAACTTGTTGTGCTGCGGTGGCTGCGGATGCGAGCGCAAGGGGCGCTGAGCATAAGTGTTACGGGTGGTTACACACGGAAAATGTCGGGGAGAGGTGGGAAAGGGGAGGAAGGAAAAGGAAAGGAAGGAAGGCGCTAGGCTGGAATCAGCAACGGAGAACCCAAGGAGAACCGGCAGTAGAGCGGGACGGGCCGAAAGAGTAAGGTGGTGGACAATTCGTTTTGCCGTGCCAGTGGAGAAACAAGTTGCAGTACAGTAACGTCACCAAAAAAAAATTCAGTTCAGTGCCATCCGCAGGGCGGTGGGAAGAATACCGAGCATTATCAGGCGCTCCCACACGGCACCAATTAAATACTTCGTTTCCAACACTTGACGCCGACGCCCACCACGAATGCCCGTGGACAAGACAAAGGCACCGCACATCTCGAAGCGCGCGGTCGCCGAGTACCAGGACGCGCTCGTACCGGGTGCGAGCGGCGTCAGCCACTCTCGCGAGCTCGAGGTCAAGCGCAATCGCGGTACGCATGTTCCGCATTATGCCCCGTCTGCGGCCGCTGATGCCCCTCCCACCCTACAGGCGAGGTGAGCTGCGCAGAGTGCCGCCGGTGAGTGCCCGGTGTATCCCCGTCCCGTCCTCCCTTACTTGCTTTCCAATCCCATCATCCCTTCCATTTCCACCCCCCCTCCCCATTTCCCCTTCTCTCACCCCCAGCAATGCTAACCTAACCCCCGCCCAGCCTCAAAATCAAATGCGACAAGCAAATACCATGCCAGTCGTGCGTGCGCCGCGGGTGCGCCGCGCTCTGTCCGAACGGCGCGCTCGCGACGGGGCAGGGCACGCGCTTCGTGCTCGCCGCGACGGAGCACCTGCACCGCAAGATCGCGCGCATGGGCGAGCGCATCCGCGCGCTCGAGGACGCGCTCACGCGCCTCAGCGGGGGGCACCCGCTGCTCGAGGGCGGGGAGGACTTTGGGTTGTCCGTTCCGGAGCCGGGGGCGGGTGCGGGCAATGGGGGAGGAAATGCGGGTGGCAATGGGTCTGCGGGCGAGGGAGACGGCTGGACGCCGCAGGGCGTCGTGCTGGACCCGGCGGCTTCTGCGGGCGGGGACGTGATCGATGCATTTGGGACGCTGTCCATCTCCGACCACGGCATATCGCGCTTCTTTGGCCCGACGGGCGGCTGTGAGGTGTGTGCTCTTCTCATTCATGTCTGTTTTGCTTTGGGTCTTCTCGCTGGCTCTGCGGGTGGTTATCTTGCTCAGCTCTCGGCGCCTCGTTCAAGCGACTGGATCCTACCCATATCTTGGGGATAGATCCTAACCAGGTCTCGGCGCATGTGTCTACCTTTTGGACGCGCACATTCTCCTTCGGGGCGCATACCTGAAATCTGGGAGCGCATATATCTATCGCACGGCGCATGTATGCGCCTTCCAGTGATCCCTTTCGGAGCGCACAGTGTCTGTTTCTATGATATGCCCACAATTCTGGTTTCCGTCAATTTTCTATCTTGTCTCTCTTTCCCACATGCCAAATCGACGCTGACCCATCCCACAGAGCCTCCTCCTCGCCAACATCCCCAGCTCCCCAAGCGCGAGCGCGAGCGCCAGCGCCTCCTCCCCCTCCTCTCTCTCCCTCTCGCGCTCCTCGCAGTCCCTCTCCCCACCCTCCACACACGCCTCTGCGCCCACCTCGCCCCTCTCGCGCTCGCACCAGTCGCACCCCTCCGCCTCCTCCTCGCACACGTCCTCGTCCTCGCCGCACAACCGCCACTCCCCCGCATCGCTCTTCTCCCCATCGTCGTTCCCGCTCACACCGCTCGGCCCGCCGCGGGCGATCCTCGCGCTCCTGACGTCGCACCTTCCCCAGCGCGCGCGCGCGCGCGTGCTCGTGCGGAGCTACTTCGCGCAGCTCGCGTGGCTATTCCGCGGGGTCACGCGGGGGCAGGTGGGGGACATGGTGCGGGGGGTGTATGGTGTGTATCGGCCGGACGACGAGGCGGGGGGAGCGGGGATGAATATGGGGGAGATGGGGGGAGGACGACGACGTAGTGGGACGGCGGCGGCCCGCGCGCGCGCGGGAGGACGGGGACGGGGACGGGCAGCAGAAGGCGGACGAGGCGGAGGAGGACTACACGGGCCCGCACGACCTCGCGCTGCTGTTCATGGTGTTCGCCGTCGGCGCGCTCGTGGTGTCCGCCGAGGACGCGGAGGACGAGCACGAGCACCACGAGCACATGCAGGCGGCGGCGGCGGAGGCGGAGCACCTGCACCAGATCGCGCGCGCGGCGCTCGCGCTGCAGAGCGTGCTCGAGAAGCCGAGCCTCGTCACGATCCAGGCGCTGCACCTCCTCAGCATATATACCGCCATGAGCGGGGGCGTCCGCGGGCCTGGGGCGGGGCTGCACGTCGGCGGGGGTGGTGGTGGGAGTGCGAGTCATAGTAGCAGCAGTGGAGCGGACGACGCGGGCGAGACGAGCATGGAGATGACGTGGAGCTTGATTACGCTCGCGGCGCATTTGAGCCAGACGGTGGGTTTCCCCTTCCTTCTTTTCCGCTTCTTACTCAGCTTGGTGTTTTTTTATGTTGTAGATCGGATTGCGTGCGTCCCTCTCTTCCCCCTCCTTAAATGTATCCTAAACTGATGGGCGCGGTAGACCGGGACAGCGCGCGGTGGGGCCTGTCGGCGAAGATGGTGCAGCGGCGGCGGATCCTGTTCTGGGATCTGTTCGTTGCGGATGTGTGGCAGGTGCGTTAGACTTTCTTTCTCTTTTTTGTCTGCTTTGCGTGTCTTCCCCATTGCATTTTTTTCGGCTTTTTTCTCAAAAGGATCGTTCACGTTACTGACGCACGACGCCCCACAGAGCCTCAACACGGGCCGCCCGCCGTCGTTCTCACTCGCGTACATCGACTGCAGCTTCCCGCAGTACGAGAACCAAAAGGCCAAGGACGGTGCCTGTGCGTACCGCCTCTTGTCTCTTTTTCCTCCTGTCCTCCCCCTCCCCCTCCGTCGTATCGCCACTGCAATGGGCGCCCCTTCTCTCTACATACCACTACCCCTCCTCAATCCCCAACGTTCCCGCCGATCGCTAACCCCCTCCTTCGCACACAGTCGAAGTCTGGCAGTTCCGTTTCGCGGCCGAGTGCGTCGCGGAGGTGACCTCGCGCACGCTGACCGCGGAGGCGCCGAGCTACACGACGATCATGGAGCTCGACCGCAAGGTGCGCGAGTTCCCGCTCCCGCCGCTCGACGAGCCGGGTGCGGACGATGTCGGCGCGAGCCTGCAGCGCTGTGTGCTCGAGCACATTCGCGAGACTGGTGCGTGCCCCTGCCCACTTCTTCTCAAATCCATAGTATGGGATGGCTGATTGCGGACGGTGGCGACAGTGCTGATGTACATCCACCGGAGCTTCTTCGCGCAGGCGATCATCGAGCAGCCAGAGAATCCGCTGAAGAGCACGTACGCGCCGTCGTTCCTCGCGGCGTACCGCGCGAGCGCGACGATCCTCAAGTCTGTGCGCGAGCAGTTCGCGGTGATGCCGAATGCGTGCGCGCGCTTCTGGACGATGTGGACGTTTGCGTTCAGTGCTGCGGTGCGTGCTCTGTGTTTCCTCTCTTCGTTGGTGTAGTGCTGATGATGGACGGTGCAGGTGGTGTTCGGGACGGTAGTGACGCGCGGACCGCGGAGCCCGCTCGCCGCATCGGCCATGACGGAGCTTGAGCAGGCGTGTGTGCTGTTCTCGAAGGCGGCGGTGTATAGCCGGCGCGCGACCAAGGCACTCGTGAGTAGCTAACC